TCGGTCAATGCCTCGAAGATGCCGCGCTTGTGTCGCTGTAAATGGTGGCCACATTAGATATTGAACGTGGTAATTTTGATTTTGGGGGTATGGACATTAGTCACCGGAAATCAAAGTATTCCCATGATGTAGTGCTGATTGCATTGAGTGAATTTTGTTATGGACATAATCAACTTTTAGGTATTTTATTAAATATAGTATTCAAAACTATAACTGGTAAATTTTGACAGTAATTTAAAGGTGTTGCGTTTTCATTGACGCCGAGTATATTTTTTCTACAAGATACCAAGGGTGACGTCCCCTTAAAACCCCAATATACGTAAAAATCACTATAAAAACAAACTTTATCTTATTTTCCCGTAATATATGTAACAAAACGAATACTTTCCTTTAATTAAAAAAAACTGACTGTTTTCAATTTAAATAAAAATTGAAAAAATCGGAAAATAAACAATGTGGGACACACAATAATTCACACCGCTCGTAGCGATAACATTGCGCATGCGCATATTCCGCGTGTGTAAACATGGCAGACACAGTATAGACGTTCACCAGTCGCTTCCTTTTTTTCCAATCATACATCAGGCCAGTTCTGAATTCCTACGTTATAATTGTGCGTCGTATCGTTTCTTAACTAATTATTCCTTCTAATAATTTCCCAAAAACTGAATGTTTATCACAGAAATACATCAAGTCTTCGACAAGACTTCGCAAACAATGTTTGTAAACAAAAACTTACCGTAGACATATCTGCATGTGCTTCCTCTATAAGTAGAAACCTCAACTTTCGCGAGATCAGGTCATGAACTTCCCGACGTGGTTCGGCAACAATCGTAATTTCGATGGCGGAGTGTTTAAAATGGAGGTGTGTTTACAAATAACGAGTTTCAACTGCTCATATATCAATACATTATGCGCAAAGTCATGGTAACTATTGTTTGAATAACTTAATTTTAACTACATCTTAGAGAATATCTCAGTAATTATGTGTGATTCTACACAATTTTTTTTATATAGATTTGTGTTGTAGCCTACATATAGTGTTTATATGTTACACAATTACTAGTCCGTAATGGTGCAGTACATATTGCACTTATTTCGAATTTAAATCCTTGATAACAAAATACTCATGTTCAGAATCACAAACAAAAATAACACTTTCAGAGATTATTATAAAATTCAGAGTGTTAAGATTCAGTTCAAAAATATCTGTGGAATGAAAATATAACATGTTATTATATGAGAGCATATAAACTGTTATTGCAAAGGACGCGCCAGTAAAACCCCCGTAGTTTACCTGTACAGGTGTGAACTATAGTCATCTCTTTAGTGGGCTAATTTCTCGTCGTCCGACTCTTTCACATGATTTCACACATCACCGGTCAGGGGCTATGATAAAGACACCCTTGGATTTAGTTAAACAAATAAAACTGCGAGAAGATCCAGAATTTGAAAATACATTTGAACAAAACTATTGAGTATTGCTGCAGCAATTTAAATTTGAAGAATAACAACTAAAAACTCTTGATCGAGGATTTCAGTAGGACGGGATTTACAATTTCTACCGTTAACAATAACTTAAAGTAATCCATTATACTAAGGAAAAGAAGGCAAATGATTAGAAGTTGATTGGCCAAAGCATTTTATTTTTTTCTACTGTGGCAATGCTTCTATCCAATATAAATGCATAGTACAGAGCAAATCTCTAATTCATTGAACTCGTACATTTTACTTCTCACTAAGATATATGACTTACATAGCAGTCAATAAGTCAATTATATTATGGAATTCATTTGCATGGTTCTTGTTACATCAATCCATGCTCATATTTTCAAGTAATAAGACAGCGACTTTTTGCAAGTCCATTGCTTTGATATATAATGTACTAGATACGATACTAGCACACAAACATAGTTAAATCTCCATTCAGCCAGGTCTTGAAAATCACTATTATGTCAGGTAAAATCCGAAACGTGTAATTGAGGGATTAGAGACTGTTTCTCTAGTTTCCCCGTTTGTTTGTTTCAGATGCCAGAAAATGAAATGTATGTCCCCAATAGCTGCATATGATTTGTTGACATGTATTGTTGTCATGGTTACGATAAAAGATGCGTATGTATATGGCTTTGTAAATACACCCATTAGAGCTATATCAATCTCCCGTGTATCGATTTCTAACTTCGGGGTATATTCTTATGTACTTCAACGAGTATAATCACCTATTGATTATTACGGACTGTGAGCAGAACATGTATGTGTTTGTGATTTTTATTTGTTCATTTTACCTGATGGGTTTTCATTATCATAAGCGACACCGAATCTCTGTTATGATTGATATGTGTAAATATATATGTGTGTGTATATTGCTTGCCATTTTTACACAAAGAAAAAATGAAATATATCTTTATATCATATGATATACCTGTAAGCTCACGCACATCAGAATCCTGCTGTTGACTAAATATCAATATAATGTAAAAGGACATCATTAGCCTCCCTACCAAATATATCCGCTAGCATTCTATCTATATTCTGTGTATGCACGTATCACTATGGCAACTGTTCCACACTCGTTATAGGCCTTGTACAAATATGTATGTGCAAACTGACATCGTAAGATGTTTACCAGATAATTCGATAGAGGACACACACATTATTATAAACTTCGAAATGAAACATTTAACACTGATTGTGTACAGAAAGATTTGTGAGTCTCTATTTCATCCTCGTGGCACGCACTTATCTTCTAAATTTCTTGTTTACAGGTAATTGCTTGAGAATGCTAGATTAACAATCAGTGTTAATTGACCTTGACACAAATTTTGGCTTGAATTGATTATCTGTGCATGTTTTATATCTGAAATATTTTTTCTTTGTCATAGAGATCCGATTATCAATATAGCCTGCTAACGAGTTTGACAGAAACATGTTTCTTTGATCTGTCTAACCTGAGTTTTATTGTTTACCTTTACCGTCGTTACTTATGTGACCTGAAAAAAATGAAGACATCAGCAATTTATAATGGTTATTTGTTAGACTTTTCATGTATTTTCGATGTTTGTTCGACATCAGGATCGGTGTTTGTTCGACATGATGATAGGTGTTTGTTCGACATGATGATCGGTGTTTGTTCGACATAATGATCCGTGTTTGTTCGACATAATGATCGGTATTTGTTCGACATGATGATCGGTGTTTGTTCGACATGATGGTCGGTGTTTGTTCGACATAATGATCGGTGTTTGTTCGACATGATGATCGGTGTTTGTTCGACATAATGATCGATGTTTGTTCCACAAGATGATAAGTGTTTGTTCGACATGATGGTCAGTGTTTGTTCGACATAATGATCGGTGTTTGTTCGACATGATGATCGGTGTTTGTTCGACATAATGATCGGTGTTTGTTCGACAAGATGATAAGTGTTTGTTCGACATAATGATCGATGTTTGTTCCACAAGATGATAAGTGTTTGTTCGACATGATGGTCGGTGTTTGTTCGACATAATGATCGGTGTTTGTTCGACATGATGATCGGTGTTTGTTCGACATAATGATCGATGTTTGTTCCACAAGATTATAAGTGTTTGTTCGACATGATGGTCGGTGTTTGTTCGACATAATGATCGGTGCTTGTTCGACATGATGATCGGTGTTTGTTCGACATAATGATCGGTGTTTGTTCGACATAATGATCGGTGTTTGTTCCACAAGATGATAAGTGATTGTTCGACATGATGGTCGGTGTTTGTTCGACATGATGGTCGGTGTTTGTTCGACCCGATGATCGGTGTTTGTTCGATATGATGATCGGTGTTTGTTCGACATGATGGTCGGTATTTGTTCGACATGATGGTCGGTGTTTGTTCGACATGATGATCGGTGTTTGTTCGACATGATGGTCGGTGTTTGTTCGACTCGATGATTGGTGTTTGTTCGATATGATGATCGGTGTTTGTTCGACATGATGGTCGGTATTTGTTCGACATGATGGTCGGTGTTTGTTCGACCCGATGATCGGTGTTTGTTCGATATGATGATCGGTGTTTGTTCTACATGATGATCGATGTTTGTTCGACATGATGGTCGGTATTTGTTCGACATGATGGTCGGTGTTTGCTCGACATAATGATCGGTGTTTGTTCGACATGATGGTCGGTATTTGTTCGACATGATGATCGATGTTTGTTCGACATGATGGTCGGTGTTTGTTCGACATGATGATCGATGTTTGTTCGACAAGATTGTCGGTATTTGTTCGACATGATGGTCGGTGTTTGCTCGACATGATGATCGGTGTTTGTTCGACATGATGGTCGGTATTTGTTCGACATGATGGTCGGTATTTGCTCGACATGATGATCGGTGTTTGTTCGACATGATGGTCGGTGTTTGTTCCACAAGATGATAAGTGATTGTTCGACATGATGGTCGGTGTTTGTTCGACAAGATGGTCGGTATTTGTTCGACCCGCTGATCGGTGTTTGTTCGACATAATGGTCGCTGTTTGTTCGACATGATGATCGGTGTTTGTTCGACATGATGAACGATATTTGTTCGACATGATGGTCGGTGTTTGTTCGATATGATGGTCGCTGCTTGTTCGACATGATGATCGGTGTTTGTTCGATATGATGATCGGTGTTTGTTCGACATGATGAACGATGTTTGTTCGACATGATGGTCGGTGTTTGTTCGATATGATGGTCGCTGTTTGTTCGACATGATGGTCGGTGTTTGTTCGATATGATGATCGGTGTTTGTTCGACATGATGATCGGTGTTTGTTCGATATGATGATCGGTGTTTGTTCGACATGATGAACTGGAGACTGGTACAATACAGCACAAACTCAGCAATTTTCTACTCGCGTACCGAAACGCGCCGCAAAGTACAACCAACGAAACTCCGGCAAAACTGTTCATCGGACGTAATCTCGTATCCCGTCTGGATCTGATGAAACCGGATACTAGGAGGACTGTCGAACAAAATCCGGCGAAAATGCGTGAACGCAGACATACAAATGTGCGACAATTTTCACCAGGAAATCTTGTGTCAATTCGCGATTATCGCCGTGAACGAAATCCGTGGATTCCAGGAACTGTAATCGAACAGACCGGACCTGTCTCGTACAAAGTGGCAACAATCGCTGCACCTGGAGCAACATGGCGGGGACATACCGACCAAGTGCGATCGACCAACGTTCGTGAAACACCACAGGATATAAACTGTGACACTCCGTCAATTTCGTTATCCGCGCGCACATCTCCAACAATAGAAACTAACATGTCCAAATCGGTAGATACGCCAAAACCACCAGAACCGAGGTATCCAGGGCGCCAAACAAAACCGCCAAAACGCTTTGATGACTTTGTAACTGTATAGAAAACAAATCATATAAGTAAGGTTTGTGATAGCACTGTGCTTATGGGGCATAATAATCCCCTGTGCATCACATGGGACCAAGATTCCTCATTTCCAAATAATTGTTGTTATTTGAAAGGTTTAATTTTGCATTTCAGTCAATTCATAATGGTTGTAATAGATAATATAACTATATGATCCATTTTCTAGTCTTTAATAATTTTCTGGAATTTGTCAGTCAAAGGTGTGCTGACTAAATGACTTGGAGGGAGAGATGTTATGTACTGATGTACCCCGCTCCGGACACAATTCGTTTAGTCACACCACGCGTAGTAATTTTCTTACCATGTTAACACGTGTTCTGATTAATTAAAGTAGTTCTGTAACCGCCATATTGATTGTTTGTTAACGTTCTTGGGCAGCTTGGGCTAATAATGCCACAACACAACAATATATATGACGTAACTATTCAAACTCCATAAATCGGAGGTTCATCTTGTCAAGAATCTGTTAGAATATACTAAAACAGTGTTTTGCATTGATTGCGTTTTCAATTGATTAAACTTAAACACGCGTTAAATAAAGACCGGAAGTACATTGCCCCCCCCCCCCCCCCCCCCCCCCAAAAAAAAAAAAAAAAAAAATCCCAAGGTAGTACCTAATCATAGAACCGACTCCGGATATGCTAGCTCGGCCGCCTTTATATTTTACGCATTTTCAACCACGATTCACATAATAACATTCTAATCCCTAGAACTGTCGTTATATGCTATATTAATCGGGATTTTCCTTCTAATGATGATATTGTGTTTGAGTTCGCGTGGTTTTTTTTATACTTAATATCGGGTATCTGTGCATCACCGTTTATACGGCCTGAGGATTGACGTCTGTATGACTTCATTTCCGGCGCCTGTTTGAAGTGTTTCAGCCTTTGCTTGATTCTGTTAATTTCTGGTTAAAATCCATATCCAGTGTCACTTTGTGAACAAACGTGACATTTTAATGATTTTTCTCTAACAGGTGCGTGCTCAATCTGCCAGCCACATTACTTCGGGAGACAAATGCACGAACTCCCTGTTGATTACAAATTGTCCATTAGCAAATAACTGAATGACCTGCATCGATAAAATTCGGAGCTTGAAACAAACACGGTACAGTAGTAAACAGATGTACAATTGATCATTCCGGTACAGTAGTAAACAGATGTACAATTGATCATTCCGGTACAGTAGTAAACAGATGTACAACTGATCATTCCGGTACAGTAGTAAACAGATGTACAACTGATCGTTCCGGTACAGTAGTAAACAGATGTACAACTGATCATTCCGGTACAGTAGTAAACAGATGTACAACTGATCATTCCGGTACAGTAGTAAACAGATGTACAACTGATCATTCCAGTACAGTAGTAAACAGATGTACAACTGATCATTCCAGTACAGTAGTAAACAGATGTACAACTGATCATTCCGGTACAGTAGTAAACAGATGTACAACTGATCATTCCGGTACAGTAGTAAACAGATGTACAACTGATCATTCCGGTACAGTAGTAAACAGATGTACAACTGATCATTCCAGATGTACAGTAGTAAACAGATGTACAACTGATCATTCCAGATGTACAGTAGTAAACAGATGTACAACTGATCATTAAACCGGTACAGTAGTAAACAGATGTACAACTGATACAGTAGTAAACAGATGTACAACTGATCATTCCGGTACAGTAGTAAACAGATGTACAACTGATCATTCCGGTACAGTAGTAAACAGATGTACAAGTAAACAGATGTACAACTGATCATTCCGGTACAGTAGTAAACAGATGTACAACAATTAACATGTACAACTGATCATTCCGGTACAGTAGTAAACAGATGTACAACTGATCATTCCGGTACAGTAGTAAACAGATGTACAACTGATCATTCCGGTACAGTAGTAAACAGATGTACAACTGATCATTCCGGTACAGTAGTAAACAGATGTACAATTAATCATTCCGGTACAGTAGTAAACAGATGTACAACTGATCATTCCGGTACAGTAGTAAACAGATGTACAACTGATCATTCCGGTACAGTAGTAAACAGATGTACAATTAATCATTCCGGTACAGTAGTAAACAGATTAGATTAATTACTGAATAATACCTTATTCGTTCGCGAAATATGAAGAATGCTACCGGAAAATGTTGCTTTAAACAGAATGAAGACATATCTTACTTATTTTGAATAAATTTCTTATATGTCATTTTGCATCGTTGAAATCGTTGAAATGATAACATTTTATCACAGTGTTTTTTAATCGTCATTGGATAAACAGCAATGTCTGATATACGTTTGTTGCTACTTTCGTTTTTGTTGTAGAATGCCTGTTGGTTTTACTTCTTTAGAATATATACATGTTTTATATGAAGTTACACATTGTATTCCATGGTTTAAATTACGGTGGCTGGGAAAGGACATCGTAAGTTACATGATAATATTTTTTTATCTCGATCGATCGACTTATTAACTAGATCGATCGACTTAATTATCTCAATAGATCGACTTATTATCTCGATCGATCGACTTAATTATCTCGATCGATCGATAAAAAATTATTATCATGTAACTTACGATGTCCTTTCCCAGCCACCGTATTAAATGACATCTTAAACACAGTGAAAAAATTATGATTTTTTTTATTTAAAATTCATACCATAACACCTTGGAATCACACACACAATATGTGTTTTCCTAATATTTACGATAAGGCTTTGGGGAGCGAAGCTGAATGTAAGGCATTCTATGATTCGCCGCTTGTGTATCTGTTGTTTACCCCGTAATGATGATGAAAGCAGCGTAACATCTGGTCTGGATTATTAGAGCGCTTAAGTTAGCGAAGTTCTAATTTTTGTCAAGAAGAGTTGTCTTAGACACTATGTATACATAAAAAAGCCTTACATGGAAATCAAGAAAAAGAACACTTTCCATAAGTAAATACAGTACTAGCAAACACTAACAAACTAGTAAACTTCGAAATACCGCTAAACCTCATTATCATGAATTCTTGTGACTCGATCCTGTCAAAACCTCACACTAAATATCGAACTTAACTAAACCGTATACTCGGATAACTCAAAGTTTCCTATGGTTCCGCTGACTTCGAGATAATGAGGTTCGACTGTATATATGAATATATATGTAACCTGAATTCCAAAGAATGTGGATCTGTAAGAAAATATATGTAGGAAATATTCATCGATACGTATATAAAAAATATAAACATTTTTATGATTATCATTATAAACAATATCTTGGGAACATAACTTAAAAGAATATTTAATGTTTATGCCGATGCTGGTCGTATTGGTAACAGTAGTTATTACAGTCAGAAATCGATATCAAATAGATCATTGACGAACAAATTTTAATGATTCACATTGTTAATAACAACATGAAGGATTTCTGCAATGGACAGCTCAATCTACGGTTCAATTCAAATTTTCAGAACGAAATCTACATATATATTTATCAACTTGTACACATTTTGGTTAATTCACTAAAACCTCACTGAACAGTACAAAATATATGTAACAAATATGTACTTCTTTTGTAACTTTATATCATATTACATGCATTTTCAATTCTCAATTTACAATATTTGAAATAACAAAATTAAACCCATGTTTTACAACAGCACGTGATAAAAACTTCCATTTCAACTTGTTAATGAAATTTATGGTTTGAAATTTGATCATATTCAAGGAAAGCATTACGATTCTGCAGTTAATATTTCAACATTCTGAAAGCTTCCTACAAATTGTACATTTAAACAAAGGAACTATGTACATGTCAGTATATTTTCAAGTAAATTTTATATGAATGCAGCGGATATAATAGCTTCGGGTTTTGTTTTTATTTATTTGTTTATTTTTTATTTATTTAATAAATTTGCTGGTATATCACCTGTGACAGTCAGGGATATATTCTTCTTGTAGTTATTGATTACTGCCTAACTGAACAACATTTACAAGGCCCGTCGTATGTCATCGACTTTGAATTATAGTATCAAAGACACGTATGTGAATAGCACCATTGTATCTTAATCCGAAATCAAATACAGAAAATCGAACAATGTGTTAAAATGTTAGAATGTTACCGACGAAAATCACAACGAAAAAATCAATGTCATAATACAGATGGATGGTGAATTTAAAATCTGTGATTTAATAAAATGAAAATTATTCAGTACTGGATGAATAAATAACGAATAACTTTAAGATATATGCATACAGAGACATGTTCTGAAATGTGCCATTATTCAAATGAATTTAAAAGTAGAATGTTAAATTAGGTCCAACTGTAGGGACTAAATTCCGCCAGCTGAGTCTATCACCTGTAGAATAAGCTGCACAAAGTGAATTTTCGAGTAGGGATGGTTCGAATTCTTTTTTGCATTCACCAGTTAGGATGGTGATAGAGATAAAGATATGGTTTTGTATAAGTTCCGATGTTTAGTTTGAACGGTACGTGATCATTCAAATATAATTTTCTACAAGCGTAAGGCAATGCTGATGGTTTTAAAATGGCAAAATAACCTTAAAATGAGACATAAAACAGACAAAAAAGTTTCAAAGTTTCATTTATATTAATTTTCACTCTTCTCTAACGTCTCACTTTAAGACAAATAAGCATATTTTCAAAGAGACGAAACATACACTTTCTAACACGTTTACTAAATAACAAATACCAGAATGGATAGATACAAACATTCAGATAAAATAACAATCTAAAAAACAACAACAGAATAACACGATTGGTTCCCATGCCGTCTAGAATGCCGGGTATACTACAGAAGAGCATAGGAAACGTACAACTGATATAAGCCGTTAACATGACGATACTGTTCTTTGTAGCGCTGCTGAGGCTGATCCTGTCCCGTTTTAAAGATTGCTTCTTTAGTGCAGAATTATTTTTAATGGTTTGAAAACGTTGTAGATCAGCGGCGGGGGAGATGTCAGCAAAATTGGGACACCTTGGCCTTGTAGAATGTGTACTACTGTTGCTTAAAGTTTTACCAAGAGGAAACTTTTGATTTAATTGGTTTCTCAGATTCGATGCAAGAATAGGGTTTTCCAAAGCAAAAATATCTTCAAACGCCAATATATGTTCATTCCGTTTGTAATGAACCACTACAGAACTGTCTACTTCTCCATTTGATATTGAATACGGTCTTGAAAAATGGTCCGAATCCTCCGGTGCATATGCGGTCCGGGTATGTATGTTACAATCGCCAGTGGCATCAGATGATAAACTAAAGGTTCTGTTAATGGGTAAAATTCTATTTCTTCCAATCGTACCACTGATGTTGAGTGTACGACAAATATTGTAATAACATCGAAAGATGATCATCAGTCCTACGGTATAAACAACACTTATGAACCCAAGAGCGCAAAACTGGTCTGCAGTCAAATGTACTGAAGTGGGATCGGTGTTAACCTCGAACCTTCTCTGGAAGGGATTTAACGTGAAATCAACCTTATCGTCATCACGTAAGAAAGCAAGCGTAAATACAAAGCCCAGTAGATAAGTGATTAGGAGGCTAATGACAATTGACCTTGATACAATTGTTCTCCTTACCTTCAAGGTTAGTGATGGCTTCTGCATAGTACGATTTCTGTAAAATCCAATTGATGCGAACGTACATAGGTATTGCATTGAACAGACGGACGTCAAGAAAAGCTGGACACCGGTCAGTATTCGATCATTCATTAAACCATCAGGTCGTGCACTCACTGTGGTCAACGAAAGCAAAATACACACACATAACAATATATTGTTGATGCTAATGTTTACTAAATGACTGTTAGGTGGTGTACGAAGGCTTGGAGAATTATAAATAATCATAATCAAAAGTATGTTTGTAAACAATCCAAACACAACATCAAGCGCCAGATAGATAACACTCAATATGACCGCGTATAATGGCAAATTCCACACGGCAATCGATAAAGATAAATTAGTGTAATTTGATAACGCCTCCGTCGAATTCATCATTTTCAAATTCATGGTACACAAACAGTATTTCATCTGCTAGATCGGTCAGCAAATCTGACTTGTGTATTATAAAACTAAGTTATATATCGAATATCAGTCGATGAAAATCGGGCATAGCGGATATACAGCATAGCGTTTACAACTCATCAAAACAAGTATAATATTTCGGTGTCACTTTAATCCGGAAACTCCCTGGGATTTTTATCAGCTTTACAGTGTACCATCAGAAAATGTGTCAGTTCCTATCTTCTGATGGCATCAATCTGGAAAAAATGAACATGATGAGTTTAAAAGTCCAAAATCAATACAATATCATCCTCAGCTGTTATTTGGATATTTTCTAATTGTATGGATGGCATAAAAATTCTACCAATTATTCGTAATTCGTTTATAGATTGTGATATGACGATACAGAATTTAAGATTGTACAAAAGACAACAAGCCAATAACACATTTTAATGTTTTAAAGTTAGATACAGTAAAACCAAACAATTAATTAAACTGCATCATACAGCTGTTTCGTCCTTCTAGGACTCGTCAGTGATGTCAGTGATGCTACATCATACAGCTGTTTCGTCCTTCTAGGACTCGTCAGTGATGCTACATCATACAGCTGTTTCGTCCTTCTAGGACTCGTCAGTGATGCTACATCATACAGCTGTTTCGTCCTTCTAGGACTCGTCAGTGATGCCGAGCCTACATTTTGAGGCCTATGGGACGACTATGGAAAATCCAAAATGATCGAAAGTAAAGTCAGATTTAGATTCGGATATATAGCACGTTATATATTATAGAGAATTGCCCGGATGTAGATGTCTATTGCTTAGAAAAAGTTGTAGTTCAAATTTCTTCTTTACAAAGAATGTACAAAAGATACACAAGTGAATAGCACCTTTGATAATTTAGAGTGACATACAGTAGAGTCGAACATGAATTAAACTACATCATACGGCTGATTCGTCCTTCTAGAAGGCGATTAAGAAAATGTCAAAATCTAGACAAAGAGGTACAGTAGCTCCATAATTAGATAAATTCGTTATTTGCATACATCAGACAATTTTTACAATGGCTCAATTACATGTGTATTTTCTAAACCTTGCCACTGTTCGAGTGATTACGTCAAACCTCGGGGACTTCAAGTCCACCTGCAGTGTCTATCACCTGCTATCTTAAAGATTGTACAAAAGACGCACAAGTGCATTGCACCTTTTCATAATTAAGTTTTCTATAGAGACAAGAACCAAATCAGGAATATTGATACAACAACGTGAATGCTAAGATAAAGAATATCCGAGTAAGTGATATGATGATTATGTTGGCAAGGTATTTTTTAGAACTTTTGACAAGAAATGTCGAGTTGGATTAAGTAAAGAAAAACCAAGATAAAAAGACAGTTGTATGACCATTTTTATTTCGCATCCGCTTTCAGCCCTCTTGCTGAGTCTCGAGCTGATATGGGTGTGATATCAAAATGGTCTAACAATAATCTCTAAATATCACAATATAATACAGTCAGCATCAATTATTTATGAAAGACAATAAAATGAATGATAAAAAAGATCAAACCCGAATTACAATATAATGAACACACAATGTTTGAAGACAATAGAATATTTAAAATAATCAATTATGCATTGGTTAATATTTGTATTATCATTAATAAACAACAAAGAAAATACCGATATGTTAACACAATCTCAATCAAAACTCAAAATTAATGAAACAAATGTTAACCGTGAACAAAAGAAAGATTTACATTTTGTCTCATGAAACCTGAAAAAGTACAAGGAGAATAAGACCAGTGGTTCGGTCTTCTGCTTCATCGACGACACCCGCCATTTAAATTCTGAGTCAATCCAAGTAAGTATTATCATGTCTCTAAATGAGAGCATAGTATACAACATCGAGAAAAAATGAAATTCGACATTTTTTTCTGTGTTTGTTTTTTTTTATGTCGTATGCGCAACGGACACACAAGCCAAAACAGTCCCATAGCATTACTCAAATGTCTAAAAGAATTTCAGAAACGGAATGTGCAATGTAAGTCAATACAACGCTTACCGGGGACATAAGGATCATAAAACATCATTGGACTACAATCCATCGTATTCGTAATATAATTACCACCGCAAAAGTTTCAATAATAATGACGGTTTACTGAAAAATCAGATCAACATGACCGTACCTGTTGGGTACTACCTAACATCGTTTTCCGTGGAGGAAACTTCGTATCACGTCATATATCGATTACCAGGATACAATGCAAGGAGATACTAGCTTGAAAAGGTTCTAAATGAAGGTGATAATCCTTACATAAATAATTAATGAGAAGGCTGACTAACGTATGGAATATTAATGACTTTATTTTACAAAAAGATCAATTACCTTCTAGCATGCCTTAGTGCTGAAATAATGTTCACTGATGTTACGAAATATATTTAATATACATACATGTATATGTAATTTGTGATACTAAAGGGCAAGTAAGAAACATAAATATTGATACATTTTGAAAATAACACTTTAAAAAGGTTAATTACTAAATATTTTGAACTTATTAAACATTTATAATGACAAATATGCTTTTGTTTAGAAGTTCTTTCTACTCGCTCTCCATAATCGTCTTATGCGGAAATGTGACAAAATGTGTTGTCGCCCTGTAATGAAAGTGGGCGGGGACTCGATTTCCCCGTAATCCGATACAAGCAGACATGACGTCAATAACAGCTGACTTTCTACCAGAAAGGACAGAGAACCAAATATATATTCTATTAAAGCACCACTGCAGGATTTTAATGTCTTGGATATCATTTCAAATCAATATCTATTTAGATTTCGCAAGAATATTCCACTTAATGAAACAAATGAATACACCTTTGATTAAGTACTCTGATGAAATACACACATAAAGACAAATTGCCATCATCGAAGCTTATCCAGAGTTAAGATATTATTCCGGGTATTTACGCTTTACAAGGTTCCGAAATTCTGCGAGAATTTTATATATTTAAAACAATAACGGCAATGAACAGGAAGTACAGCATCCATCTGATTCCAAATGTAGTTCCTGATTAGATTACGAAATAATTCCTGTTTACATGAACAGTTCGTATTACCGTATTATGTAAATGAAGACGATGAAAAAGTTCCTACATTTTCAAACTTTCACAATAAATCCTTAAGATAACATTTGTTTTCGAGCTTTTCAACCTGGGATACCTAAAATCACACCGTGATATACAACGCTTCATGATATGGTTTCAATTATTGTATCTCAGCGTGAAGGACAAATGTTTTCTATTTTTAAATGGGTCTATCCTTCTTGGTGACGCATTGTTCATGCAAAATGAATGAGTTTCTAATCTCGTATCTTTCTTAGGTAGCAGGAAATAGTAAATTTACATTTTTCCTGAAATTATTGGTTATGTTTGAGATATACAGGTATAGCAGTTTGGTTATGAAATATATATCCTTTCATGTATATCTATATTTGTTATAATCTACAAAACAATTTCAATCATAGCAGAGAAATAAGAATTATGTAAACATAAAATTTCCTCTGATTTCTGACATATGATTGTCATGGTTACCAACTCAAAACGCCAAAAATGCAAAATAATACTGCTAAATGAACATAACACTATAACTTTGTAGAAGAAATTTATTTCTGAACACGTGTCTTATACTCAACAACACTGTCATGGTAACAAACTACTTACTTTTCAGAAAATTCCAACTTGGAAATCCTTCACAACATGACCACATGTAAAGACTATGAAAATTTTCACTTCCTGTGAAACTAGTTTTAGGTGCGTAGACACAGATTCAAGAATGCTCAAATAGTAATCTCCAACACAAAACTTTTTTTTTAAATTTTAATTAAAACCTTTATAATGGGGTTATCTAATGAACAAACATATCACACATGGCCACACCGAGAAACTGTGAACTGCTACCATACAATGCTGATAGGTCAATCTAGTCAATGAATCATCCGAACTCCCTCTTGTTTACAACGTTAAAATATGCGAGATAAAGTGACAGCAATGACACGGAATAATCACCATGGTAAATCATATGAAAACGTGTTATTTCAAATTTACGAGTTAAACATTCGTTTAAGTAACGTTTCAAATATACAATGTAGACCATAACAAACACGTCGAGCTTTTGTCTCAATCACATTCAATTTGTACAGTCAATATACAAGGAACGGTAAGTAGGTTTGTTCCCTTAAATACACTAGTACCGTTGTACAATACCACACAAATGTATATTTGACTATCATTTGGCAATCATAAATACCGAGACTTTTTCATGTATAGATTGTTTTCCTCAAAAATCCCCAGAAAGGAATTATCAAAGCTATGTCTAAATATCCGACTTTCAAAATGACACGATTGCTAACCGAAACGAAATTTTGATAATGATTAAAAAAAAGACTAAAAGGTTTATTTCTTCCAATAATCAGTACATATCAACAAATGGATTCCACTTTCGTGCTTCCATGACCAAACTGACAAGTAACTTAAAAGCAGATGTTGTTGCTGAAGCAAAAGACGCTCTCTTTCAGAACACATTGACCTATTCTACGTTTTAGACTTCCTTTTTTCATATTTCGCACTTGTTCCGCCAATTTACTTTCGAATTGAGACTTTCTTAACATAACTGTATTTTCGTGTTGCTTTAGGAAACTCAAAAATAATTGCTTTCCACTGTAACCATTAACCAATGAGTCCAATTAAGATAAAGTGAATACTGTTTAATTCTCTTCGATCGTCCACTGCTTCATCAAAGCAACCAGCCATATTTGTCAGAAAGGATTACCATTAAATCGTATGATTCCTGAGCTGTACAATACACGTATAGATCGACTTTATGCGTGTCTGATACAATTAACTACCAGATTTAATGTCGCATAAGCCTGAAGTAAATGGATCGAAGTGATCGTCCTGTACATTCTTACTCATGTGGATACACTTCAGTGACACATGGTGTGA